ATAAAGCTCGCCAAAATATCTTTGCGCAATTCTCTTTTTCTCCTCCATCTGATAATACACTGTCCCTTCTTCATCCTTCAGTTGCTGGATTAATCTTTTCTCTTTCTCTATTTTTAATTTATGGGACAACCACTTTCCTGGCTTATTTGCTGATTCAAAAAAATAGTGTTTGAGAGTTTTAAGTTGCATATTTTCCACATATATCTCACACTTCATAACAGGTACCAAATAATATCAGTAACAATTGTGTCAAACCATTGAAAAAAATGAAGTATGTCAACAAAATTGCTAAAAACAGTAAGCAAGAAAAATGCCTTTGCTCCTAGCACAATAATTAGCCGTGATAACCACTCATTAAATGCCTAATTCCTTTTTATGGCTGCTTTGGAGTAGCAATGGAGTCAATATGCAATAACTAAAGCTGCTGATGCCAGAGAAATCCAGAACTGTAGCTGCCAACACACGAAGAATTACAATCCATCTAATCTTCCAGAGGACTATACCTTACTTCATAAAATAGAAGCTTTCCTTTTTTAACAATATGTAATTACTATGGCCATACTTATTTTCACAGGAGCAGTCAGTAGCTAAAGAAATATAGAATTGTATGCAGAGTACTAACCATATTAAAGGAAGTATGGAAAACTTCAGTCTCACTCACTTAAGTGTCATTCTCTTTTATGAAATGGATTGAATAGGACTGACTTCCTGTATCTGGTTGCCAAGCACAACAAACTCTAGATCAGTAATATGGCTTTCCTTGTGTGTCATATTTTATATATAAGTTAATAAATTTATGGTTGGCATTTTCTTTGCTACAGTGAGAAGGACACATGATGTGCTGAAGAAATCAAGACTTAACCTAGAGTTATGTTCAATCTAACCACTCCTTCATAAAATGCTGGTATTCCAGAGCTGAGGAGAGAGAGATTGAAAAGGTGTTAGTCTCCTAGTCCTGGAGAGGAAGCCTCCAGGTTGTGGAACATATTTTCATTACTGGAATCCATTAATTGGCCCACAAAGGCGTTAAAGCTCATTTGAGAAGATTTATGCTTCTCATTCTTGCTTTTTACATAATTTTGTTTTTATCTAAAAAGATAGTATTATCTAATCCTAAAACTCAGACTTTAATATATTGGTTTCACGGTGAGTGTCTTTAGCTGTTTACCTCTTTATACAAATAGCCTGATTATTGACAGCATAAACAGGTATCCTGCTCTTCTGTTCATAGCATCTACTTTTGGTCTACATTAAAATCATTAAACTCTAACCAAGGGCATTAGAATATGTTAAAACAGTACTGTGAATGCTTGAGGGTAGGAGACAAGGTCTAATAGCAATGTTAACATCTCTTTTTTACATCATTCATTTCTAGGAGATGACCCACCAGCCTAAATTAATTTATTCCATTAGCCGTGGAAGAAATGGATCCATTCATATCTCCAGAAAAAAAAAAGATGGAGAAAGAAAAATAGACCCAACATTTAGTCCAAATCCAGCCAAGCTAAGCAGCAAAACCAAATACTACCAAATCATCATTGCCCAGATCATGGATTCCAGAATTCATCCCAAACTTCACTATTACTTTGGCAACCAACTCTGGCAAGTGCAGTGTAAAACCTATGTACTCAAGTGGCATAGCACACAGGTTTTTCAATCATTTCTTCATATGCTCTGTTGTGGGACTCATTGGGAAATTTATTTGGAAATACTCGACAGTAACAAATAGAATTACTATCAAAAATGTCCTAAGTTCTTCATTTAAATGACTGTGGCAAGAAAAAGCTATTTTTACTCCATATAAAATGAGTATATATATTTGTATACTCCATATAAATAGCTTTAATCTTGTTATTGTGCAATAACAAGACTAAAGCTATTTATATGGAGTATATAAATATGCATAGATACTAGACCTTAGCCACAAATGCTATTCTCAAAGAAAAGGGTACTCCAAGAACGGCATCCTCAGAGACTGAGTTCCAAAGGTACCTTAGTCTTACTGTTGGATTCTTTGGAGGATGGTGCAAAAGTTCATTTATAATGTTAGGATTAGGGAATGGATACATCATCCATTACTATTATGATGATGGTCGGTTGTACAGTCAGTCAGACATTTTTACTGGATTTGGTAATTTTCTCCACCTATCAAGTTATTTCCAAGGACATGGAATAGGCAGATATGATTGTTTCATGGTGGTTAAAGGTACTGCAGCATGTAAGCTGTTCCAAGTACAGATATCTTTTGCTATAATTGTGACTAATGGTGATTCTGTCAAAGTCAACGGTGTTCAAATGGTGCTTCAGATGTATTGAGAATGCGCCCATGGTACCTATTACTATGGGTAGTAACTTTGCTATCTCTTGCCAGTTGTTCTACTTCTGTTTGCAGGTCTTTGTATTTTGTGATTTTCTCCAATTTTTTGTCTTCTATTCTGCTGTCTTCAGGTATTGCAATTTTCACTATCCAGACATTTTTGAGTTTCTTATCAATAACTGTTAAGCCTAGTGTGTTATCTGGCAGGTGCTTGTCTGTTTGAATTCTAAAGTCCCAGAACACTGTAGCTTCTTAATTTTCTATTATTTTGTCTCTTTTGTGGCCCCAGCAATACTTGCTTGCAGGTAAATGGTATTTCTTGTAGATATTCCAATATACCGTTATTACATTTTTTTTATTAGCGTAGCTACCTTACCTTCAAATTGCTATGACTTCAAAATGTAGCCTTGGTCTAACAATAAGATGTGTTTAGCCCAATTCATTTTTTTCTTTGATTATTATTTCCATCAGCATTTAAAAAAAAAACCTATTGGGGATTTACAGACAGAAAATTGGCTCACGAATGGTACAATTTTTTTCTTATTCTCAGTACAAACAGGCCTATACTGCTTCCTAAAAAAAGAAGTCTTTTGTATGATTGAAAACCATTGCCATTCTCTTGAGAACCAAGTCACCCACTTGAGAAAAGGCTTTACAACAGTAGATACTGAAAACATAATAGCAATTCTACTTTACTAGGCCAAAATTTGTCTAATTACCATCTCATTTTCTACTGAAAGAAACTTTCAATACTTGAGAACAAGAGCTGTTCTATATTTAAAGATACATGGTCTTTGTATTTGGAGGCTTCATACAGCCTCCACCATGCCACCGTGACTTGTATACAATGGCCATATGATTTGAAAAGAGGGTGGCACTGGACTTTCTTTTTGAATATGGAAGGGAAGATTGCAAGGCAAGTTTTCTTGTTTCAGGAAGAAGCCAACCTCACAATTTGTAATATATAAAATATAATAATAATGCACCCAAAACTTGATCTCAGTAGCTTGAAACAGTATCAAGTTGTTTGTCCTGAATAGCCATATAGGAATGAAGAGCTTCATTGTGCTTAAAAAACAGAATAGGGGCTGAGTCATCCAAACCTTTGTGTCTGATAAAATAATCTGGAAGCTGACTGCCCATCTTCATGCCCACTGGTATTCTGGCATATGCAGAAAAAGCAAAAGTCCTTGAGTCTCTATGGAAATATGCAGGAATCAGACTCCAATAGGCTTATAAAGAAGAGTGGTGACATACTTCTTCTTGTAGCGATGAGTGGCACTAAGCACCATGACACCATCCTATGGGAGAAAACACAAGAGAGCAGTTAAATAAGTATAACACTTGACAGTAATTATTATAGAGGAAACAGATTAATCCACACAATTTTATTATCTGGGAAATATTTCATATGTGTGATTTCATTTTCTATCTCCTTCCCAAATTTTAAAAATAAAGTGAGTGGAGAATAATAGATACAAGATGCCTCCTTCTAGGAAACCTGAGAGGAAACAATCATGCACCAATGATATGGCACCAATGCAAAACAACCCACAAGAGGGAGAGAAGCTAAAAGCCTCAGGCATTACTGGAATTTCACATTTTGGTTTCTTTACAAACATTTCTATCCTACTTGGAAATCTGAAATGTTGAACTGGACAAGAAGTCAATTTCTTCCATTCTTATGTAGAGAGAGTAGTGTACAGCAAGATGTACAGCAAGATGTGGTAGAGTACGATAAGAACAGACATTAGATTACCTTAATGGAGAGTGCATAGAGGTGGTTTAGCATCACATGGTTTGGCTCTGGCAAGAGGGCAGGGTCACACTGAAAGAAATACAGGACTCTCATCATGCAACTATTTCCTGTTCATTAATTATCTGTCAAAACACCATTTCAATCTGGACATTTATGAAAAATTATTTTACACACATATCACCACAGGTAGGCATAGACTATCTTGTTCCAAGATTCTGATTTGAGAATTTTGTGATCATGAAGTATCGGGGGAAAGACAGGGGTGGAATTCTACCGGTTTGCACCAGTTCTCCAGAATCAGTTGTTAACATCACCGGTAGTTCTAAGAACTGGTAAAATGGATCCCTGGCTGGCCCCGACCCTCTCAGCCGCACCTACGCTCCAAAAACCAGGGTTTTTTATGTATGGATTTTATTTTTAAGAATGATAAAAACAGTAGACCTACTGAAAACCTGCATGCATACATAAATGGAAACAAAATGTTACAATATATTATTATATATTGATACTTGTTTCTGCTTTGCTTTTTCCTATTAGGAAAAAGCACAGGAGAAAGAAACATCAAGATGAATAGTAACATAATTTTATTTATGTATTTATTTATTTAATATCTGTTTTGTTTTTATGATTAATAAAAACAAAAACAGATACTAAAAAAATAAATACATACATAAATAAAAAAGCAACTTACCAAAAATGAGGCAGGCAACTTCTCATTACGTTGTTGTTGTTATACATTATCTGTTTCTGCTTAAATCAATATATAGCAACATCAATGTAACAAAAACTTGCATGCATACATAAATGGATTTTTAAAAAAAACAAAAAGTTTTTTTTTAAAAAAACACAAACATAAACAAAACAAACATAAAACATAAACCATCTTCAGTTACATACAGTGTGTCGGTTGGTACAAATCACTTGTGCACAATCTCTGCAGTCTTTCCCTTCCAATTTGCATTAATCCTTATATCATAAATCCACTATATATATTTATATTATTACTATTATTATTTACTTACTAGACTTTACTAATATTGCATCATTTTATGCGAGTAAATCATCATTTTTACTTAATCTACTTTATAATGTTCATTTCATAATCACTAATCTATTCTATAATATATCCTTTACCTTACCTCTGTAATTCTATTATATTATAAAGTATTATAAAATATTTAATAAATGAAAATTGTTTTGTTATGCTGCTGTTACATATTGATACTTAGGTTTCTGCTTTGCTTTTTCCTAATAGGAAACAAATATCAATAAGTACAGCAGTGTAACAGAAAAATTATTCAAATTCCTTTGTATTGGGTTATTTTTAATTTTGTTAATTATATCAACATGTTTATAATTATCAAACTTCTGTATTTAATTCATATATAGCAATGATCATTCTCCACCTAATTTCTACATCTTATCTCTATCCATTTCTGCACATTGTAATTTTTTAATTTCATTTCATCTATGGGGATCTCTTCTTTTTTCCACTGTTGTGCAAACATAATTCTAGCCGCTGTTAACACGTGTAACATTAAATATGTATTTAATGTTTATTTACGTGGGTACCAACATATATGTTTCTGGTTTTAAAATTTAAATCTATATGTTGTTTTACCTTTTTTGTTAACCTTGACACTACATCCTCTTGAATAGCTACACTAACAGAGCCCAATACTGAATTCATATATTCCAGTTTTTAAAACTAAGGAATAAATTTCAGAAAAAGAATTCAGTATTGCTCTGTGAATGTGCCTATCAATTCCATTCTTAATCTAACTTCTTAGATGATTACTATTATCTTTTTTTTTGTACTATATATATCTGCATAAGGCTGTAAAAAGCTTCAGTACATTTTTAAGCTGCATTCTGAAAAGGTTAGGCGACCAAACATAGCTTCCCCTGGCTATAGAGAGAGCATTCCATTAGGGACCGTTGGTCCAGGTAAGTAGTCTTGGCTAGGAAAGATTTTTGGGCCACTACTGGCACAAAATAACAAACTCCCTTGGTTTGTTAATATTTCCATTTTAAGTGTTTCTTTTTCAATTAATGAATTGTAATTATGAAAATATCAGCCATTCTTTTATATACACAGTGCAACATCTTTTTTATAGACTGTCATTTTCAAATCCACTTTCAGTTCTGTCTCAGTCTTGTCTGGTGAAACTTGTTCCTCTTCCATAACATCTTTTAAACACTAACACTAGCTATAGTGTCAGGGACTCTTAAAAGTAATTGAATATTACTGATCTCCGTTCCTCACCTGCTTTCTTCACTTGCCACTGCCTTCACCACTCAACTTACAACAATCGAGTCCAAACCTACATTGTTGAATTTTTTTTGCAGCATATTACCAAAATCAAAAGGCAAATGAGTTTGTCTGCTTTCTTCGGCAAGAAAACAAAAGGAGATCCAAAAAAGTCACAACCGCAACCATTGGAGTCTAAGGATAGCGGTGCCAGCACATCATCCACACCATGACCAGAGGAAAGAGCCAGCATATCATCCACATCTCAACCAGGGGAAAGCCAGCACATCATCCACACCGCAACCAGAGGAAAGAGCCAGCACATCATCTACATCGTGACCAGAGGAAAGAGCCAGCACATCATCAGGTACTGGAAGAACTGAATCAGACATTGAAGGGAACCTTCCTGACTGCTGGACACCGCAACAGTACAATAATTTTAGGGAAAAAATTTTTCCCAGAAAAAAATAGGTTGCAAGCATTGCAGAATATTTGAAATTTCGACGAAAGAAAAAGTGTCCATGGAGCTAAGGAGTGGAAGAATTACCAAATTGAACCATCAAGGAAAGAGTAAAGAAATACAACAAGCTTCCTTCAGAAAGAAATTGAAGGAACATTTCTCATCTAAGGCTCACAACATCTGTACAGAGAAGTTGAAGCAATGTGAGCAGGATGTCATAAGCAAAGGACTGGAGAAGATGACTGAGAAATATCTGGGTAGTACACGTAGAGTGTTTACTACAGTGTACAGTGTCAGCCTTCAAAATTTCTTTCCTTTGCTTTGCATCTTTTGGTTCTCATAAGTAACGGGGAAGGAAGGGTGAAATAGTTATGGGAAGCGAGCTGGAGGTTTGAGAGAATAAACTGTATAAGTTTGGGGGGAGAAGCTTCTTGTTTATGCTTCTTTCCTATGCTATGTGCAAGCGCACCTCTTTATCAAAATAGGCCAAGGTCAACGAATAGAAGCCTCATCACCACCTGAAGATGGCCACATGACATCACATATAAATTTAAATTGGATGGACAGTTTGAACAATTGTAGGTGGGACCATTGTATCACTTTGTACATGTGATTTTCGTGCTCATTTCCTCAGATTCAGAATTCCTTTGATGCTACCACTTGATTTCCAGTAAAAGATATCTTTTCTCTAATTAATGGAGTCTGTTTCTTTCTTGGATTTTGAAAGGAGCACCAGCTGACATATAGTCTGGCACAAACGTGCAGAACATTTTCATATATAGAAGATCTGATTGAATTACAAATGAAAAATGGTTTCGATTTGGGAACAGGGTTGCATTCATGTAAAACTGCAGTTGCAATAGTAGATTTCATTGTAAAAGACATCAGGAAACATTTATTTAGCAAAATTATTGAGAAAACTCACAAAATCTGTTTGATAATTGATGAAGCCTCAACAATATCTTCCAAATTCTTATACTGTAATTAAAAGTTGAGGATCCAGCTTTCTCACCAACAATTTTCCTTGAACTAGTAGAATTACAGATACAGAGACGATATGCTGTTCGGTTATAGAAAGTTTAAATAAAGTTGGGTTTAATGGAAACTATCTGGAGAAACATTTAATTGGATTTTGCTCTGATGAAGCCAGTGTTATGCTTGGGAGAAAATCTGGGGTAAGCACTAGGACAGCCAAATAGTTTCCAAATATTATAATATGGCACTGTTTAAACCATCGCCTGCAACTTGTTTTAGATGATTCTATTAGGGAAATAAAGCAAATCAACCATTTTCAAATTTTTATTGATAAAATATATTCTATTTCCCATCAATCGAATAAGAACCTAATTGAACTTAACAAAATTTCCAAACAACTTAAGATTGAAATTATAAAAATTGGTAGAGTTTTTGGACCAAGATGGGCTGCCTGTAGTTGTATGGCAGGCTTATCCAGAGCTACATCAGTTTTTCTGTTCAAATAAAAAATACTCCGGTATGGCTGCCTGTCTTGAAAACACATATTTTCTCACTGATTTGGCCTTGATGATTGATGTGCTAACTGAAATATCTCTTCTTTCTAATGCATTGCAAGTGAGAAATATAGACATTATAAAGGCTGAAAAACTTGTGATAAGATCAATTAGATCATTTGAAATGCTTATAGAGGAAAAGGGTGCATATGAAAAAAAGGTTGATGAATTAATTACTTCAGAAACCTTTAAAAATATAAATTTTATACAAAATCATCGATTTGTGGGACTGCCTCATGAAAAACTTATAGAAAGAATTGTAACTAATTTGAGGAAAAGATTGATGGATTGCAAACATTTAAAAACAGGCTGCCAATTCAAAGACACTGATCGATTAAAATTTCTAAATTATTTGGAGCCAGATTATTGGAACATTGAAGAAGTGGTGGTTCCATGGAGTGTAGCTGAAGAACAATTGGTTGCATTTGGTGAAATTTTCAATTATGAAATCAATATTAATGATTATCATGATTTCATAGAAAATGTACTAAAAGATACAATTCCATGCAGCATTAAAAAGGCTAGAGATATTATTAAAACTATTGCAGTCAGTTCAGCAGAGGCAGAAAGGGGCTTCTCGCAGATGAACATAATTTGTTCAGAGGGCAGAAGTCGCCTTACAGTTTCCAATATTACAAACCTCCTGACCATCACTCTAATTACCTCTGTAAGAATGGGACCCTGTTCCTATAATAAAGAAGTGGTTACAGGCACATCACACAGCTGATGATGCTCGTGTTAAACACAAGAAAACTGTAACTCGGGACAATAATAGAAAAGCAATTTGGCAGTACTTTAAATAAGTGTTATTGCTTTTTGTAAAGTTTTGTTATGTAATAGTTTTTGATTAATATTTTAAAATGTAACAATATAGTTTTGTGTACCTTTTTATTATTTAAGCCTTAAAGGCATGACAAAATAAACTACCTTTTGTTTTGGTATATCTTTTTTAAATACTGAGTCATTAGGACAAAGAAGTGATGTTGACTTTGCCTCGCCCAGCCCTCTGCAGCCCTCCCCGTAGCTCCCTGTAGCTCCCCAGACCTCGCCCAGCCCTCCTTGTAGCTGCCTGGGCATCGCCTTGCCCTCCCCGTAGCTCCTTGTAGCTGCCTGGGCCTCGCCCTGCCCTCTCCAGGGCTCCCCAAGCCTAGGAAACTGGCAAAAAACACTTGCTAAGCAACTGGCCATTAAGCGAGGACCTGGTCATTAAGCGAGGACCACTTACATTTGGTTTGCCAGTCACATGGCCACCTGGCCATGCCCACTCATTACATGACCACCAAGCCACACCCACAAATTAGGCCACACCCACAGATCTGGTTGTTAAGAAATTTGAATCCCACCCTGGGGAAACATGATTATTATAATTTTATTCTTATGATTAAATTTGTATTTCTCTTGATTCCCAATGACACCTGCCTACTCACAAGTAAAAATATTTTTTTAAAAAAATTACAATTAAAAACAAAAGTAGGAAATAAAAGATAGTAAGATGACAGAGCCAGACTTGAATGGAAAAAATAAAAGAATTCAAGGTGGCTTAACTCACCCTTGTCACAGGCCTGGGAGATAAACTACATCTTCATCCAGGTCACAAGGGGAAGTTTCCAGAGGGCAGGCACTGTGACAGCGAAGGTGCGTTTCCAGGGTCTTGATAGATGGCAATGTTTAATTGAAGTAACCTGGAGCACCCCAACCCTGACACATTGAATTGGTAGAGCTGGTGGAGATAGGCATTTAGGAACTGGTACTCACGGAAATATTAGTATCCTTGTTAAGGATGACTTGAAGAAGATGTGGAGGAAGAATTGGTGGAGATTTAAATCGCTCTTCAGGCCGATATACATACATATCTTGGCCATAAATTCCAGGCGGGGAACCAGAAAGTTCTAAAGAAAATTAAATAGTATTGAGTTAAAGTAACCAGCTCATCATTTTTAATATTCATGCTAGAAATGGAAGAAAAGTCACCTCGATAGGAAGTCTCTGAACTTTCAAGGGAGTCAACTTTTAAAGCATCAAACACTTCAAAATCTGATTTTTTGACATGAAGCAGATTGTTTATTGTTCCCATCTGACTGGTCACTACAGGCTAAAAAATAAAAGACAGAATTAAGAATTTATATAAAATCGAATATCTTCAACAGAGATTTTGCTCACAAAACAAGAACTGTATAAAGGTTGTCCTGATCATGTTCACATTCTAGATCCAACTCCATAATGCTCAATCATTTACATTTCAAACTAGAGTAGAAGGAGGCATACCACCAGTTTTAATTCAGTTCAAATTCTGCTTTACCTGTGAACTCACTTTGGGGACTTTTCTCATTTTCTTCATACCCATGTATGTATACCATGTATGTATGTTTCTCATTTTCTTCATACCCAGGGTCTTATTTTATTTTGGGCTCCAAAATAAGCACAAAATTATTTTTTGGGGGGGGGTGTCTTAATTTTTTCCCATATACAGGAGGCCCACTTCTTCTGCTTGCTCGCAGCAGGGCAGGAGGTTGCATGGTGTGCCAGTGTCGCCACGAGGCAGCAGGGTGGAGCTGCCCCATGCACCCCACTCAGGGCCCTTGCAGCCAGGCCATTCCTGCCTTGCCTCATGGCTGTGGTACTAGCAGCCCCGTCCAGCAGGATCCTGTGTGACTGCCAATCCAATTCTTCTGCTTGCTTGCGGCTGCAATAGAGCAGGAGGGCAAGTGACCTGCTGGTGCTGTGGTCATGAGGTGAGGCAGGGAGAGCTGCCCCATGTGCCCTGCACAGGCTTACCTCAGGGCCCCTGCAGCCAGGCCATTCACACCCCAACACCTGCCTCACCATGCGGCTGCAGCACCAACACACCATTCAGACTCCTGCTCTGTTGCAGCTGTGAGGAAGCAGAAGTGGGCTGGTGGCCACATAGACTACTAGTGCTGCTGCTGTGAAGTGTGGTGTCAGGGCATGGATGGCCTGGCTGCAGGGGCTTTGAGATAAGCCAGTGTGGGGTGCATGAGAGCTCCACCACCACCTTGCCTCACCTCATGGCCATGGCATCACAAGCAACCAAATGGAATGGGTAGCTGATCGGCTGTGCAAGCTCTTAAACAGGGTTTATTTTGGGTGTAGAGCCTATATTAGGCATACACATAAAACTTGCTAGGGCTTATTTTTCGGATAAGTTTTATTATGAACCGCTTTGCTTCTTTCAAACCTATTGCTTTTCAACTTGCCAATGAACTAGGGGAGGGAGATGGCATGTGGAGAATGTATGCAGAGATCATGAGAACTTGGACCCAGCAGAAAGAGATGGGCCATTCTCATATCAAAAGACAACTCATAATTGGACAATGTGATCAACCAGGGATGGGGAGAAGGAGAAGGGTTGTTTAACTGGGCAAGCATTTTCGCAGGAAACCAGAGCTGGTTTTGTTTCTTCAGTACCAGCATGGTGTATTCAAAAAAGTTTTACTTTTGGGAATTCAATTCTCTCAAGAGTGTTTCCTTGGTTCCCGAAGGACATTTGCAGCCTGGAATTCTGGCTTATTTAGATCTGCAAACAGCAGCAACAAACCAATCTTTGTTACTGTCAGACCTGCCCCAATCTGATCCCTTAGAAAAGAAAGACCGTCTCTAAATTTGTTAAAGCAGAGGTTTCTTTTTGGTGTTGGCTGCAGTAAACTCAGGCTAGCTCTGAATTTTCTTGCACTCACTAGATACAGAAAGGTTTGGTTGCAACCCATCCCTCCCCCCATGACCACTATGTTTCCAGCTAATCAGAACTTACCAAAATGCTTTGAGAATACTAAGATAATGCAGGTAATCCACAAATTTTCTCAGGATGCCAGACCTTGTGATGCTAGTACAAACTGGATCCAGGCTGCTCTGTCTTTATCACCTATCATTCCCCACTCTTTATTTCCCATCATGTACATACACAGTTTTATTGCCCTTCCATTCTCCCCCTTCCAGCCTTTAATGACAGAATGCCTGAGAGAATGCCTATACTGCATAGGCTTCCTTGTCCCAAACTGCCCATCTCCACTACATCTCAATTAGGTTTTAAGAAGTGTAGGTTCATGGCTGTAGGACCCCTTGCTCATTTTCCTGCAGAAGCACTGCACCCTCTGTGACATCATGGGCATCAGCCTGAATGACAAAGGTCTGGGTGTTTCAGCACTAGCTCCACTGCAAATAGGTGCTTAAGCTTTTCAAATGCAGCCTGGCACTCCATAGTCCATTTTTGTGGTTGGCTGGGCTTGGATTTTCCCTCCCCTTTTGTCTTTAGAAGATTGGCTATCTGGGCAAACAAGGGAGTGAACTGGCAGTAAAAGTTTGCAAATCCCAGGAAGCTTTGTAGTTGCTTCCGGGTGTGGGAAGGAGCCCACTTTAGCACTGCCTGCACCTTTTGCTTTTCTATCTTCTGCCATGGCTCTCACAGGTGAATGTCACTCCCATCGGTTACTCTTCCCACTCTTTCTTTTTTCCGACCCACCAAGGAAAGGATCTGGGTGGGTTGTCCTCTCCCAGACACTTGGATAAATCCAGCCCTCCAGGAGGGTTTTTTGAGAGGCTTCCATCTCTTCCTGGTCACTTCCTTGAGCTGACTTCATTTGCACAATCCTCATGGTTGAAGTGTTTTCCACTCTGGGTTGACCACAACTGCAGAGCTAGGTTAATGTTAGATTGCCCCAATCTGATCCCTTAGGAAAGAAAGACCCTTGACTCCATTTGGTTAAAACAAAGTGCTCTTTTACTTTAAGGTGTTAGCTGCAGTAAAATGAGACTACCTCTGAATTTTCCCATGCTCACAAAATACAGAAAGGTTTGCCCGCAGCCGATACCATTCCTCATGACCAGTCTGTTTCCAGCCAATATGTTTTGAGAACGCTAATATGTTTGGAGTAATCTCTAGATTTTCTCAGGGTGCCTGGCCTTGGGATGCTGATACAAAACTGGATCTGGGCTGCTCTCGTATTTATCATCTGTCATTCCTCCTCTCTATTTCCCATTATGTACACACACAGCTTTATTGCCTTTCCATCCTCTCCCTGCTTCAGCCTTTGATGGCAGGATGCCTGTGAGGTTCCAAGCCTTACTTCATCCATACTCATGCTCTGCAGGGCATCTCAACCATCAGGGTGAAAACAGATAGAAGAAAACAGAATTACCTCAGAGGGATCATGAACCCACTGGCCATCCACAAAAAACTTGTACTGGTGTTCACCTTCAGGAAGATCCAGAATAGCAACAAAGTCATTATTGCTGAAAGAAGATAGTGATCCACAGTGAGAAACACAGCATATATATATATATATACACACACACACACACACACATATAAGTGGCCTGTCTTGATTCTTTTATCTCACTTTTATAAAATCAGTAAGACAGACTCAGCCATAGACAAACTCAACCAAAGAAAAAGATGGTTTAAGCAGCTTCAACTATTTCAAAAAGAATGCACACAGCTACTTCACGAAAGTTTCCATGAATGAACCTAAAAGAGACCTACCAAACTGGTGAAAATAGAAATATTCATTTTCTGAACTGTGAGGACAATTATGCAGCGAAGCACCCGCCTCTTGAAGTTATAGGTGCTTTCAAGAAAGGTTTGGGTGGCATTTTTTCCAAGATGGAATGAGGATTACTGCAATGGGCAGGCAGTTCAATTAGATGACCTCCAAGATTTCTTCTAATCCTATGGAGCTGATTTAACAGGGCTGCTCAAGAAATAATCTTTAAAGAGAAAAAGTAATCAAGCAATCTCTTTAGAATGAGACATGAACAGGTCAAAGTCAGTCTGGCCATTCTGGATAAGGGAGGTGTAGATGAGACTGAAAGGTGTCCCTCACTTGGGGATGCTCTAATAACTTGTTTAGCTAATGGCCTATCAGCATTGACCTAGAAATCTCCCAGATGGCCAAGGAGTGCATCTTAACCATCTGAACATCTTCAACCAGAAGGAAGCATGTCTAGACAGTCTTAATCTAAATGGGAGGACTAACATATCCATCACAAAACTTTTTGCCTAATTTTAAGCCACTTCCCATACTTGTACCTCTTTCTCAAATAGTATCAAATAGAGAGTTTGATGGATTTGGGAGCAGGAGGACAGAGCAGATTTTCAGAAAATCAGCATTCATCCTTAATTGCTAAACCTTTACACTTCAGACTTGACTTTTAAAACTAGACTGTCACTCTGTCAACATTTCAAAAATGGGATTCTTCTGGGCAATAGATGATGTTCATCAGTTTCTCCTTCTATAAGTCATGCCGTATTTTTTATTTCTTCATAAAGCAGCATCTTTTTAAAAAGAAAAGGAGTCACATAAGAAAGTTTGAAATGTTACTGTTTAGTAAAAATGATAACACTGTAGAAAATAATTTGAAACTTGGTGTCCATGTTTTTCTTGATTGGGTACTCCACTGTGTCAACTTCAAACTGAAGCACACAATGGCACAAGTGCAATAAGGTAAAAAGTACTGATTTGGATGTTGAAATATTCAGAGAGACATTTCATTTGCTAAATTTCAAACTGTTTCTGGATTTGAAGATAATTTCACCCTCATTTAGTGAAGTTTGAAAGAGCAGACTAAATCACTGCAATATCTATCACTGTTATACTGCATTCTCTATTTAATTCTGAATCTAAAATGCTGTCAAAGTGCCAATCTATACAGAGGCATTTCATTTTTTAGAAAGAATCTGGTGAATATTCTTTTGTTTGTGGAATGGCAATAGCAATAGCACTTAGACTTATATACCACTTCAGTGCTTTATAGCCCTCTCTAAACGGTTTACAGACTCAGCATATTGCCCCCAACAATCTGGATCCCAATTTTACCAATCTTGGAAGGATGGAAGGCTGAGTCAACCTTCAGCCAGTGAGAATCTGGGAAGACACCTGTTTTCTGGCTGTAAGGATTTGCTATCAGGGACACTAAGATGTTTGAAAGGGGGAGAGAATGAAAAAAACTACAGTTGGTCTGTTGAGACAAAATCGGACAAAACGTTCCACACTTTTCACATAGCATTTGTTTTAGAACCAGAAAATTAAGCTGGAGCTTACAAGTACTGCTATGTACTGGTATATTTATGTATTGTAAGCAGCAGTCATGCCTTATAGGGAAATGGGCAGCATAAAAGTATAATAAATGAAATAAAATAAAATGAAATCAACAAATCTGAGTGAAATCCTTTGTGTTGGATAATATAAGTTGTATTTGACTTCATGGAACCTAGTACTATCCTGTAAACAGTGGTAGGATTCAATTTTTTTTACTACCAGTTCTGTGGGTGTGGCTTGGTGGGTGTGATGTGACTTGGTGGGCATGGCAGGGGAAGGATACTGTAAAATCTCCATTCCGATCCCACTCCAGGGGAAGGATACTGTAAAATCTCCATTCCCACCCCACTCTAGGGGAAGGATACTGCAAAACCTCCATTCTCACCCCACTCCAGGGGAAGGATACTATAAAATCTCCATTCCCTCCCCACTCCTTGGGGAAGGTTACTGCAAAATCCCCATACCCTCCCCACTCCTGGGAAGATTACTGCAAAATCTTATTCCCTCCCTATCCCACTAACCTGCTTTCCAGCTCCGTTCTCCTGTGCAGGGCAACAAAAGAAGACTCAGCCGATCAGCTGGGACTTCGGAGGCAGTTAATAGATGGGGGCGGGCCCAGTCAGAGGTGGTATTTGTCGGTTCTCTGAACTACTCAAAATTTCCACTACTGGTTCTCCAGAACTGGTCAGAACCTGCCGAATACCACATCTGCCTGTAAGCCAACAGAAAACTATAACTCTATTTTCCACTTATTCTCAACAAAAATACTGACCTGATCTGAAGTTAAGATGAAATAGATTAAAACCAGGGGTGGGATTCAAAAATCTCAGCAACTGGTTCACTACCCGGTTGCTGGGCCATGGTGGGTGTGGCCTACTGGAACTTCCTGTTTCCGGCTCCCGGTGGGCCTCCAGAGCCCAGGGGAGGCCATTTTCACTCTCCCAGGTTTTTCCAGAAGCCTCTCATGGGCCTCTGGGAGAGCGAAAATGGCCTTCCCCAGGCTCTGGAGGCCCAATGGAAGCTGGAAATAGGCCTGTTTCACGACTTCCAGTTTTTCTGAGACAGACGTCTTTTGCCCTCCCAAGGGTCTGGAGGCCTCTCCTGGGCCTCTGAGAGGACAAAAACGGCCTCCCCTGGGTTCAGGAGGCTCTCCTGAAGCCAGAAACAGGGCCATCCAGACTTCCAGAAAGCCCATTTTTCCTCCTCCCAGAGCCTCCGCACAGACCCTGTACTTATTTCCTTCAAAAATGGGCCATGTGGAGACTCCTGGGAGGGGTGGGTGGGGCCAGCTGGTTGGTTGAAATACCAGTTTGGTGAACTATCCAAACATCTGGTTCTCCCGAATCGGTCCAAACCAGTAGAATCCCACCCCTGGGTACTACTGGTTCTTACCTATTTGCTAGAACGTTGATAATTTTCTAAGCAGTTTGGAGAACTGGTTGTTGGAAGAAATCTCCTTTTGTTTTTTCCCACTTTACAAGGCTAATCCTGTAAGGAAGGCAGGAAGGAAACATTCTGGTGTTGTTTCTAGCCTAATCTTTATTTCCCTGCTTACAGAAACTGCCTCTCCATTAACTCTTATTACATTCTTGGTGGTACGCCTAGACTTCCTATTGCCTAAGCTCTGGAGGTTTTTTTTTTCCTTTGGTGATACGTTGCTGGGGCTTGACTTTCTTAAAGGGGAAAGCTTTTTACACTGCTGTTGGGAGGAAATATTCCTTGAAATACTTCCAGCCGGGATGCAATTGATCATCACTTTGAAGAAATAATTGAATAACAAAGCAAAGCTGCCGGAAAGGAGCTTTTAATGACAAGGAACCAAGATGAGTGACATTCAGTAAGGTTTCTTGGCTAGCTAGAAAGATTGACATTCAAATGTGAGTTTACATACCCTTTATGAGTTTTGGTCTAAAACTGATTTTTGGTGACGTTTAATTCTGTGCTTGATGACATTTAATCCTGTGTTTATTGATGGGATAATTTTCCCTATTCAGCTTTGTTTGGAAGGAAAAAGGTTAATCTCTGTTCCTGAAAAGAAACTGGATTGAGAAATCTGGCTAGTTCCTGTGTCTATTTGTTTTGTTAATTGGTTTAACAAGTGACAGCTACAGTTGTGATTTAATTATTTGTATTGTGTTTGAATTTTTTTCCTGCCTCATGGTTTCTTCATGGCTTCTAGAGGGGGGGTCTTCCTTCACTGCTTTAGTGGTTCCTGGCACTGTCCTTTTGAGGTGTACTTCCAAGGGGCAGGATGCAAGCTTGGCACTGATTTTTTACTGCCCCTCTGGGTGGCATGTGATCTTTCCTTAAACCTGGATGATTTCCTTAGGATATCTTGTGAGGTGAGTGAGACCAGCTGGCATCTTTAAGTGGTACAAATGAATCTAAGGATTGCTTCTCCTGGGTGTGTTCTTTCTGGAGAGCTTAAATGACTTCTCTGCTAAAGGGTTTTACTTTATGAGCAAGAGTTGGCTACTGATAGTTATCATTGCATTTTACTTATTTTAATTCCTCAGGGTGCTTTGGCACCCTGCCTGATTTGTAACTCCAGCTTGCAGGTATTTTTAATCTAATGATTGGTATTTAGGGCAGCTTTTTGCAAGCAAAGAACCTTTTTGTATTTTTGTACAAGTAATCCTTGATTTACAACATTCATTTAATGACCATTTAAAGTTACAATGGCACTGAAAAAAGTGACTTAAGACCATTTTTTGCACACAACTGTAGCAGCATCTCCATGATCACGAGAGGCCAGGCGAGAAGAGCCCCTTGATGTGACAGATGTCGAGCTGGCGATGCCCACCCAGTCACATGCCCACCCAGCCATGCCTACCCAGCTGGTCATTAGGGCAGAGAACCAGTTGTTAAATTATTTGAATCCCACCACTGATTAAAACTTTATTTCAGTATTTTTTAGAAAAGAGATTGATATATAATTAATGTTCATTATTTGCTGCTTTATAAACTAGCCCAGTCTGGTTCCTGTAAGATTCTTGGAACCGACAATGAGATAACAGTATACAAAGTGATTTAAGCATATTTTTTTATATAGACATGTTTTCATTCAGATCCAGAAGGCTTGGATCAGCTATCATTAAAATAAATGTTATTTTACAGATGTTAAGGAATCCTCTACTTCTGATATCTGATTCATTTCAGAATTTCTACATGAAAACAGCATATTTTAGCCTTAGTTGGGTTTAAAATATTTAACCAATACTTCTTCCCCTGTGTAGAATAAGAGTCAATGCTCCCCCTCCATAAATAATATTGAGCAAAGTTTTTTTAAAGAATCACATATCACCCTGTTTCACCTCTTAATGAGAGGAATCTTAGCACTCCAATTGTTGAAAGAGCCTGAGATGAAAACTTCTTTGCCTCCATCTGTCCAGCGGATGACTGTGGGACGAGCCTGCTGGGATGGTTTAACTGACTCATCCAAGTCATGGTGCCACGATACAAACTCTTTTTCTCCAAGAAGCTGCAAAAAGAAGGCAAGTTATATCTTGTCCAAGTCTTCCTGAAAATTGAAATCTTATTTCCTAGATTTAGGAATAATCCAATGATGAATGAGCACTTTTCCAAGTTATTTTAAGCATTATAAAGGAGAGAAATTGATAGAATTACTTAAGGGCCGTAAAATGGCCAATTATCTCATAAATTAATGTTTAAAAATCATAAAAAAGCATCATCCAAATACTGTACCTTAGATTCATGGGTGCTGAAGATGTTGGGGTCATCAGTGCTGCCAACCATGATCTTGTGTGAATGATCTTTGGCATGGTGGACGGCTCCCTCTGAGCGGTGAATCTTGGAACTGTGGCGCTCACCTGACATCCTTTCACTTGTGGTGTTCCCCATAGCTCCACTGCAAGAAGATAGCAAAAGAAAAGAATTAGGGCCAATAACAATTTCACAGACATAATGTAGTCCTCTATTTCCAAAGAAGCTAGAGAGGAGTGCTGCATTTTTTTACAGGTGGTGGGTAGACAATAAGCTTTTTCAGCCATGAGAAAGAATGCGAAAGAAATGCAGCAATCAACAGACTTCCAAAATCAATAGCAGAATTGAAACATTCATAACAATAATAAAGTCACTGAACAGGAAGCTGACTATTAAGTATCCCTGTTTGCTCCAAGGATCCAAATTAAAATATTCCAGAAAGATGTCTAGATTCTCCTTTAAGACACTATATGAAGAGAAGTCCACTATCTCCCAGGATAACTGGTTCTACTGACAAACTGGTCTTACCATTGGGAAATTTTTCTAACATAGGTTGGAAATCCATTCTTCCAATTCATTCAAGATATTTGAAGAATCCTATCATACCCATCATCACTCATCTCATCTCTAGTTTCTTCCTTCTTTCTTCATAAGACATAATTTCTTGATTATATTGGTTGTCCTGCTGTTCAACCTATTGTAAAGGTTCCAACTAACGAACCCAAACAAATAAGAACTCTGAGGTCAAGCACTTCCTCAAAGAACTTCTTTATTGGGTAAATCATATCGGCACACTTCAAAGGAAAGCCAACCCTGACTTTCCCTGTGGTTGCAGTATAGTTAAAACCAGTAATGACCCCCTTCCCCAGTATCATTAATCACGTTGGCCAATTAGGTTAATTACTGGGCTTCTTGTATATTCATCTCGTCCTTCCTCCATCGCCCAGGAGATGACCTTGATTTTCCCAAGAAAGATCTATGTTGGATCTAGCAACGCATTTCAGTCTCCTTCCCCCCTTCCATGCAGTGTGGCAACGTTGAATCAGGAAAATGGCTTCTGTCAGGTTCAGTTTGGAGTTAACAGTTGGCTCCCCTTTGTGTGTGAGGAAACCTGGAAGGTACTGACACAGTTTAATCTTGCTCTATTCACCTCTCCCCTCCCCAAGCATTTCCTTTGGCTTCTGGGGATTCTTTTCATGGAATTTCCTAACCAATCTCTCTACCTTCATGTCCTTACTTTTCACCCAGGTAGCTTCTGACAAAGGATAACCTTTCCATTGTGCTAGGTATTGGAGTCTTCCCTTATGGATTATAGAGTCTAAAATTCTTTTCACCTCATAATGGGTTTCCCCTTCCACTACAATCAGGCACATAGCTGCTTGTTCAACTGGCTGGATGCTGATTTTGTTACTGGCTTCAATAAACTACTGTGGAAAACCGAATGCACTTTCCCTATCAGGCAGGGAAGCTTTAACTCTACTGTGACCAGGTTAATTATTTGTATGATGAGGAAAGATCCTATAAATTTAGGACCCAGTTTCTTTCTTGGCAGCTTTAAATTTTAAGCATTTGGTAGAGAGGTAAACTTTCTCTCTGATGTGGAACAGCCTCGGTGGGGGGGGGGGGAAACCTTCTTTTAAGCCTGTTGCTTTTGTGTTTCACTGGCTTTAGGTAGGACTCGCTTCACATTTCCCCAAGTGTTCTGTAGTGAGTCCACCCATTCTGTTAAGCTCACTGAGGGAGGGAATTCCCGGGGAAGTTCTGGCATGAGAACAAACTACTCCCATAGCTACCTTAAAGGGAGTGAGAACTGTACTGCTATGTACGGCATTATTATAGGCTACTTCGCAAAAGGCAATAGGTCTGCCCAATTTGTTTGTTGATAATTAAATGTAGCACTTCAATACTGCTCTATCATTGCATTAGCTCGTTCTGCTGCCCCATTTGTACTCAGATGAAAAGTTGAGCTAAGCCCCTGGGAGGACCTAATTAGCCTCACAAACTCCCTCCAAAATTTGACCATAAATTGGAGTCCCCCCCCCTCCCGGGTTGGATATGATTCTCCTTAGAATTCCATGTAGTCAGCAGGTATGATTCAGGAACAGTTTGGCTAGTTTCTGCACTGATGGGAGTTCGGAGCAGGATACAAAATGAGCCTGTTTGGAAAACAGGTCAATTCCTGTCCTCGCTGTTTTCCCCCATCTCCAGTAATACTATGAAGTCCATTGTGATCTCCTCCCAGGGTTTGGATGGCTCAGCCACTTGTTGCAACAGTCCAGGAGGCTTCCCAGGCTATTTCTTCATGGCTGCACAAGTGGCACAGCTTTTCATTAGCTTTCAATGTCCTTTTTCATCCCCAGCCACCAGAACTGTCTCCTGGTAAAATGCCATGACTTTAGGAGCCCAAAGTGGCTGGCTTGTTTAGCATTGTGATTCTTTTGAAGCACTTGAATCCAGAGGGTACTGGGGATGTATAATTTGGACCCCTTTCATGCCATTTAATCTCTGAGGGTTAGGAGCTGACTGTTGTCCCTCAGCCTAAGGATCAGACCTTTAAGTTTCTGTGTAAACTCCCCGCCCCCCGGCTTCCCTGACCTTCTCTGAAACTGTCATCTTGTCATCTTGTGCTGCCTTTTGTGTGAGGGGAATGATGGTGTTGATCACTTCCTCTCTCGGTTGCTCTTGTATTGATGCTGCCAGGACAAAGTGTTGGCAAGGAAAATCCCCGCTCCAAATGTTCTTTAGGGAGAAGTCAAAGTGGTTAAAATACTGCACCCATCTGACTTGTTTAGGAGAAAGTTTCTGAGGGGTCCTAAGTGCCTCCAAATTCCTATGATCAGTCAAGACTTCAAATGGCACTTTACTCCCCTCAACAAAGTGACATCATGTTATCAGGGCCCATCAGACAGTGAACACCTCTTTTTCCCACACTGCTCATCGTCTCTCAGGGTAGGTCAGCTTCCTGGAGGTGTATGCACCTGATTGTAGCTTCCCCTCCTGGTTTTTCTGGAGGAGCACTGCCTCCACGGCTACATCACTGCCATCCACCTGGATGACGAACGGTTCTTTGGGGTTCGGGTGCTTAAGGACTGGTTCCTTTGTGAACAGCCACTTGAGCATCTTAAATGCCCTCTGGCATTCCACAGTCCATTCCAGTGGCTGACCGGGTCACAGCTTTGGTCCCCTTTTTCCAGTTTTCAGTAGCTCAGTGATCGGCAGGGCTATTTTGTTGAATGAGGGGATGAATTTCAAGTAGAAGTTTGCAAACTTGAAAGCTCTGCAGCTGTTGGTTGGTCTAAGGGGGTGCCATTCCAAGATGGCTTTCATCTTCCCTGGGTCCATCTCTATCCTCTCACTTGATACTCAATACCCTAGGTAATCTAGGCAGATGTTGTGAAACTCACACTTTGACAGCTTTGCATAGAGGTTTGCCGCAAGGAATATTTTGAGTACCTGGTGGACTAACTGGACATGTTCTTCCATTGTTTTGGTGAAAATGAAAATGTCATCTAAGTATACTACTTGTACTTGATCATGTAATCCTTCATTAATCAACTGCACGAACACAGCCAGAGCCCCTTGGAGGCCAAATGGCATTGCTTTGAATTGGAGCTCCCTAGAAGCAGTTGAACGTGGTGTTCCATTCATCCCCTTCTTTGATTCATACTCTGTATTATGTCTCCCTTAGGTCTAATTTGGTGAAGATCTTTCCTTTCATAAGTGAGCTAGCATGTCCTTTATTAGGATACACATTTTCCATGCATATGGTGTTAATCCCCCTAAAATACAGTCATAATCTCATAGTTCCATCTTTCTTCTCCTTAAACAGTACTGGGGCTGCTATGTGGGACTTGGTGGGCTGGATGAATCCAGCCTCCCTCAATTCCTTCATCTCTTTTGGGGTCATGGAGTACATTTTGGGTTTGGGGAGTTTTACTCCTGGCAGAATCTCGATAGCACAGTCAGTAGGGCAGTAGGAGGCACATTGCACTCCTTTTTATTGAATACTTTTGCCAGGTCATGGCACTCCCTAGGAATAAGTTGGACCTTCAGCCACTTGCTCTTTGAAGATGGGGGCTTGCTGGGTGGTCCCTCCTCAGGGACTATGTTGGAGGGGGGAAGGTCCCCCTCCTAATTTCATATTCCTCCATCCCCCTTCCCACCAGATCGTTGGGCCCCACTTATCATGCCAGGAAAGCCCTAGGTTCACTATCTTTGTCATCGTTGGGACTATTATAAAGTGGATAATCTCCCAATGCTGACCTATGTATAGTCGGACTGGTTCAGTCAGGTGCATTGCAGGGGATCCTATTAGTGATCCACCAACCTGTTCAAACCTTATGGCTTGGGGTAACTTGCATGCTCAAACCCCCAGTCTTAGCACTGTCAGCTGATTAGGCATTGGATGTAGCCTGAGTCTATTAAAGCATGCCTGGCTGGTGCTACAGTCACAGATGTGACTGGGTTGGGAGTAGCCACTGTCTCTCCCTGCATCCATCTTTGGCACCACGATTTTCATGGGCATTGCAAATGGGCGGATGGCTTAATTTACCATTGGATTGTGCTCGCCTTCTTCCTCGCTATCATAGGGCGCAGATTATTGGCCTCTTTCAGTTGGAGTTCTCTTCCCTGCTTGAGGGAGAAGAGACCTCTATAGCTTAGTTTAACTTCTCCCTGGCCTTCCTCTGTGGCTTCCTTGGCTTGGCTGCACCCAATTACTTGCTTCTTTGCTGAGGTGTAGGTGCTAGGCACTCGGCTTCTTGGTGGCCCTGCTGGCCTCACCTGAAGCATTTAATGGGCATTTGGCCTGAGGCAGGAGGGATCTCCACACTGTGGGTGTGACCATCTGCCGCCCAAACTGGCATCTCTCCTGGCTTTTCTTCAGTTTCACCTCAGAAGTTCCCTTCTTGCAATGTGTTAGCTCAAGGTCCAGCACAACTGCCATTCAGTAGCATTCCTGGGTTCAATCAAGGGCTCCTCGATAGACACCAGCCTGGAGCAGCTCACAATCAAGCCCCTCTTTAAACTTGTAAACCAGTTTTTTTTAGCTTTCTGGCCACTCTGCAGAATTCTCAGATACATTCCTTTGTCGGTCTATCCCTTTGCTTCACATCTTGGATCTTCATCTCAGCCTATAGGGCCTGG